TTCTCACTTAGTAACAGTTTCAACCTTATCGAATTTCCAACGCTTTCATCGTTTGTGCCTCTGAGAATTATGTAATTTGTAACTTTTAGTTTTGTTTTTGAAGCCAATTCTGAGCAATTATATCAATTTTCACCTCCAACGTGTTACTCAATAATGGACTGCTATACATTTTCGGTAATTTTCAATACTATTGTACAGCCTCCGAAAGTGATTTCGTCAATAAAGAAAACTTTCTTCGTCAAATTGTCCTTTATTTTCTTCATGGCTCAGTGGGTATTCTCGGTGATTCTCAGAAACATTTTCGATTCCATAAATACAATGAAATTAATTTAAACAGCTTCATACCCTTTCATTAGGACTCACTACCTTGACTGCTCCAAGAAATTCATACGTTTTGGATATTTTTGTAGAATTACACTGAATTGCACCCTTGAATTGATAATTTTTAAATATATGAGGATATAGATTCAGAACTTTGAGTCAGTGGCACAGTGGTAGAATGCTCACAAACCACGTATGTGGTTCGGGGTCCGATCCCCAGCTGACGCACTCGTTTACCTTGGTAAGCCAGTAATAAGACTGTTAAAAAGAGGGAAGGTTGGGTATGAGGTTTGCAAACTCATCCTGTAAAAATAAACACCGCTGCTACCGAAACTTCAAGTCAGAGGCTTGAAGTTCTATCTTCCACTAGAAACATAAAGGAATAACTTAATAACAAGATTCAGAACTATCAATGGACTACAGCATTCAGTAATACTTATTATTATTATTCTCTTTAATCAAAAAAGTAAGTACACTTAAGCTCAAAAATCCATATCTCTCTGAAATCGGCAACAAATAAAAGCAGGTTTAATTCATTGCATCAACGGTACTGAATCATAAAGTCACGTTAGTTTTCACTCTTCGGATACCTGTGTTATATAACACTTTTTCGTCTCCTTTAAGTTTTATGCTAAATAAGGTATTGTTTTCTAATACATTGTGAGCAACTTCAGCCGTAGGCAGTCAGTTAAAACGTCTTGTGTTTTTTAAATGTGTATTAGAAGTTATTCCAAATCAAATTAATCATACTGTTTCATTCTTACATAAATTATCATCGAGTTCATTGCATATTGGATACCTTTATCTGATATAACACACAATAATACCGTATAGGCAACTAGATGGCTTTTAGGCTTAATTCATTGTGTATATGAAATAGAATGAGTATTAGGAAATCATATAGAAATCGATAGAAAAATGGCGAGTTCTTAACGTAATCAGTTTAGGCATTAATATTCCGATCAAAACAGTTCTAGTGGAGTTACGAAGAAACTGGAGGATTGTTCCTGAACACACATGTAGAACCAAGATGCTGTTTGAAATAATAATAATAATACGTTTTTAGTTGTATCTGACTACTGATGTATTTAAAATTCAAATAACTATATGGGTATGCCAATTTTTTTCCTTCACATTCACAGTGGATCATAGGGCTTCAAGCTAGTGGCTTGAAGTTTCTGTGGTAGTGTTTATTTCGCAGGATTAGGTTACTAACCTCATGCCCAACCTTTCTTCCTTAACATCTTTATTACGGGCTTAGCGAAGTGAAGGAATAAGTCGGTCATGGATCGAACCCTGGACCGTGAGCATGGTCGGCGAGCGTCCCAACCGCTGTGCTACCGAGGCACTGGGTATGCAAATAGGGTTACTATCATCCCTAACAATGGCTAGCACATTTATAGTTATTTGAAAACATAAAACTCTAAGAAGGTTTAATCCTGTTGTTACGTTGGAGAAATGTGGGTGGCACATTCGCTCTTTTTGAACACATTTTGAACACATTCCTTTAAGTTCATCATACATATAAAAACACAGTGGTAGATGGAATTCACTTCAACTTCCGGTTAGAAAATGAACAGAGCTAAACAGCAAAACCATCATCCTGGAGAGAATCAAACAAGCCAACCTGGATGAAAAACTTCGACCGGAACAGGTTAGTTTCAGGAGGAACAAGTCATGTATTGATCAAATCGGCACACTACGGATCATCATTGAACAGAGCTCGGAATGGCAGTCACCTCTCTATCCCAACTTCATCGACTTTGAAAAAGCCTTCGACAGTGTCAGTCGAGAAGTGATTTGGAAACTACTTCGCTACTACGGGGTGCCACCGACAATTAGACATCTCATCCAACAGTTATACGACAATGCTGCATGCCAAGTAATCCACAACGGGAAACTTACGGAATCCTTCGAAGTAAAGACAGGAGTGAGGAAAGGCTGCCTACTATCGCCAATGATTTTCCTGATTGCAGTAGATTGGATAATGTGACAGACAGCAGGCAATGAGGAAACAGGTATAAAATGGACCCACACAAAATACTTGGAGGATATAAATTTCACCGATGATACATATATATATATATATATCTGATTTCCCACAAACTGGAAGATATGCAAGTGAAAAGCAACAAGCTGGCAGAAGAAGCATCAAAGATAGGACTTCAAGTGAACACAGATAAAACAGAGGTGATGAAGATTCCTGGCCAACACCAACAGCAACAAAAACAGACGACAATCAGCATAAATGGGAGGAACCTGAAAGAAACAACCTCCTTTACCCACCCACCTACCTGGGAAGCATCGTTTCAAATACAGGCGGAACTGACGAGGATAACAATGCAAGAATCGGAAAAGTAAGACAAACTTTCATTATTTTCAAGTCTGTGTGGAGGTCAACAGCACTGAGCATCAAAAATAATTTCCGAATTTTCAACTCCAATGTGAAGTCAGTGCTACAATACGGGTCAGAGACTTGGCGCGTCATGAACAGTACATCAAACAAACTACAGACCTTCATTAACAGCTATCTTCGCTTAATACTGCTCAAGATGAGATAGCTGGCCAGAAAAGATCAGAAACAGGGATCTCTGGCAATGAGCGAACCAACCAGGAACCGATTGTGCAACAAATATGCAAGAAGAAATGGAGATGGATTGGCCATACTCTGAGGAAACCATCAAATGACATCACACGACAGGCCATTGCTCGAGTGGAAACCGACCGAATAGGAAGCGGCGAGTTGGTCGTCCAAGGATGACTTGGAGGAGATAAAAGCATGTGGGCAGACTTGGGGCCTGGCGAAAACTCTTGCAGAGAACTGAACGCAATGGAGACGCGCAGCTGAAGCCCAATATTCCTATAAAAATCAAAGGAAATAATAATAAACAACAAGACATAACGAAAACGGGTTGTTAAGTTAGACAATAACGCCCATAGATAACCACTGCATTCTGACATGTATCTAGATTTTCACTTACCCCACGAAAATTGGTCTAGTTTAGTGTTTATATAGTCAAGTCAGGAGCCTAATTAATAAATCGGAAGATTGAAATAAGGAAATCAAATAGATAGGAAAAAAGAAATAGTGAGTAACTACCCACTAGGTTTTATTCAAAAACGTAGTAATATAAATTATGAAAATAATGTAAATAATAAAGAATTTAAAGCCCTAATGGTACTGCAACGTTAAAAAAACAACTTCAGGGACTCCACTTAAGATTATTAACACCAAAAAGAACCATTAAGATGGCATTTCACCTAACCAAGTTACTTAGAGACAAACTTTAGCTGCATATAGACATGATAGATTTCATAAAGAAAAATAATGCAATTTACCAAATGTTATGTAATTGCTGTAGGGTCGGTTATACAGGTTCAACTAGAAAATCGAGGTCAAATAGAAATTTAGTTCGATACAGAATGACTATTTCTGTTAAGTTAAGCAATCCAGGAAAGGATTTTTTATCATTGCAGTGAATTCACTTGCCTATAATCAGAAAATATGCTGTGATAGGGTGCAAGTAATAAAAAGTGATAGATATTGAAATAGAGGGAGAGGTTATTCACTAAATCCCTGTTCATTGAATCAGCACCAAATACTTGCAGTCAAAATGATGCAACACATGTCTCAATTATGTGAAAAATTATATTAAAACACAAGAAAAGAGATAGTGAAACTACACAAATCATGTTACTAAGTCTGATGCCTACACTGATATGATTATGAGCAATAAATTTTCCTCAAATAAACTTGTTAAGTGTGGAATTATATTCTACCACAGTGACCAGATCCTACTCCTCTATTGAAACTGAGCTCATATTGGATATATTTTCTCGACAAACATTATTGCTGATGAAGTGGACCTAAGCTGCGCGAACACAAGTAATCACTTAATGATTCGTGTTCATGTTGAGAAACACTTAGATATAACTCCTTAAATTTTGCCTTTTTCGGATTATCAATTAAAGGTTGCATGCGTAACTGTTATATTCTGGCTACACGGACATCTGTCTTCAAGCCTACTCTACAAGCACTACTCTACAATTCATCTTGTAACAAACAATAAAACCTACTCAGTTTATCCATAAACTAATAATCCCGTTATTTTAAATTATTGAAAAACCTAATTCTGCACAACTTTACCCACCATGAGTTATATTCTCAAATAACCAATCATATTACAGTGAATTGCTTTTTGGTTGGAAACTCTCATGCTTACTTGTTATTTGTGAATGTAGCCTACTGGATAATTTTAGACTATCTATTTGTCCATCTACCTATCTATCTATCTCTCCATCCATCACTTCATCTAGCCTCTCTATTAATGCTTCATTTCTCAGCTCACTTCCCAACGGGTTCGGCAATATACACAGCATATCTCTTCTAATCAAGTATCCATCTTTAGTTGATTTTATAAAAAAATAAATATACTATGAAAACTGGACAATTACTTCTTTAATTTATTAAAACATTGTCATTTAGGATTGAAGATATTTCAGTGGAGGAAAAAACACAGTAAACTGTTCTAAATTATTAAGCCTTTCAATTGTTCTACTGAAAAAAAAGCTGTGTAAAGCAACATTAATGACACATCTTCATCACATAAAACTTTAAGATTACTCTTTAACATGTTGAATATAAGACGCATTGTCTGACACTTATATATTTCATCGCGTATGTATATATATATATATATATGTAATGATTACATTATTAAGTGAATACATATAATCTGTAAAGGTAAGCATTGCTTTATTTATTATAGTATTAACTGTTCACACTTTACTATGCTTATTATTCTGTTCATTTTTGTGAGTGTCAGGCACTTATTTATCTGATGGGACAAAAATAAGTTGTCAGTGAAAAATAAACACATTTGTAAAATAAATTTAGACTATGAGATTCATATAACTCTAAAAGGTGGAAATAGTTATCTCATACAATTTCCAATAGTAAAAAAATTGCCTAGCCAGTCTTTTCAGGTGGGTGTAAACGCCAGGAGAGATTTGTATTCACCTAAGGCATTCAATCACTTGGGTTTTGAATGAGTTGCCTAAGGACGATAATTAATAAGTCTTCTTACTCTAATGGTATGAGCTTGTCGAGTGAAATTATCTGCTTAGAAACTTCTTTTAAGCTTGAATCATCAAGTGAAATCAGTTCACGAACCGTTGGGAATCACAAGATTCTGGAAAGCTGCTTTATCTTGCTTGGGAATTCCCTTCGTCAGTACGCATCCATGACACAACCAGTGCTGCATAGTTTTCAATGGTTCTCTAACTGAAGACATAGAATGTTCAAGTTTGAAATCAATCAAATCCGTGCTAATCAACACTTGGAAACATTCATCATTGTACAAAAAGTAGTAATGTTTAGCTAAGTTTTAAATTGGTTACTATTCACAAGGTGTATAACAACAGTAAAATAAAGTTATATCATTAAAATGAATCTCACTGTTGGCTATAGCTTTGACAGTAATAAATTTACATTGAAGTGCGATTGATAAATTCGATAATATACCTTCTTAAAGTCATAAAGTGAATAAAATTCAGCCTTGACATGATGTGAACAGTAGGCAGTTAAAACCACTAAAATTTCAATTTTGACTGAATGTTAACATTAAAATAAAAAAAGAAAACAACATTAAGATCAGAAACGGTATGTGAAAAAATCAGCACATTGCAGGGAGAACGAGAAGTTTAGTGGAGTTTCTGCACTCGACTTGTTGCTTTCTGTCTGAAGTACAAAAGTCTATCAGCTGCAAATCTTATAGTAGTCAAGTGAAAATGAAAATTAATTCCACCAGTACGGTTATCAAAAATTGGGATATGGAATAAGAGAAAATGTTCCCTGAAAATAGAACTTATCAACTTCAAAGACTGAATGTTTGCAACACAATCTGTGTTGTTCATAAACTGCAGAATTTTCATTAATTATCGATTACAATTTATTGAATGAAAAATGAAGTGTTACTAAATGTGTGTGTATTTCAACTTTTTGATATGAACATCTGTGATTGTAAATTTTTTCAGTGTTCTGAAGTTTTGGCAGAAGCAGATGTTTTGCAAAATGGTTAATTATAAATACGAATAATATTTCAATTTAATTAATTTCGACACTTTGCTACAATATGTATATCTACATATATTTTACTCACATCTAATTTATTGAAAACTGTAATAGAACTTCGTTTATATTCATTTTTATGTCTGAATACAACTCAAGCATTTAGTCATTCATTCAGCTTTTTGAAGAGATTTCAGGGAATAAGAAGCACTGAAATCAATTACTACATCATAAGATACTTTGAAGTGGAATTGTGTTTTGAAGACATGAAAATTATTCATCCTTTAAAGTTTTAGAAAATGATTCATAAATTACTATGGACCATTATGTAATAAGTTGTTTTATCAAAGTATTCATTAAAAGCATGACAGCTGAATATACTTCTGACATAAAGTGCGTCAGTAGCACAGCGGTTAGGACTCTTGCCAACCATGCACATAGTCTGGGGTTCTATCCCATGCCAATGCACAGCTGATATCTATGGTTGACCTGCAAAATTTGGACTACCGATATCACACCCTGAAAATTCCATACTTGTACCAAGACTACGGTGTGGAATCAAGCTGCAATCAAAAAAGTACTCAAATAAAGCTATTAATCGTCCTGGGAAATGTTTAAAATAGGCACTGATATACAGGATTAGTCGGACTAGTAAACATTAAGGTATATTTTGTCATTCAGTTCACAATGAAGTTTTTTTCCAGTAAACGGATGTCTTTATGCCGTTTATTGAGAAACAGTACAGAGTTTTATATTTGCTCATAAATATGACAAAATGTAAATGAATCCTATGAAATGCAGTTTTTCCTTAAGGGAAACACTGCATGATTCAATAGGTTCGTCTTTCAACGTGGAGGAGATCATGTGAAGAGGTGTTGAAACAGTATGGACTAACATGGATGCAGGTGAAAAGTACAGCAGAAGACAGAATCAAGTGGAGACGTGCAGTTTAAGCCCTATGTTCCACCAGGAACCCAAGGGAACAATAATAATAGTAAACGTGTTTAAATAAACTCTGATTTTCTATACTATAAAATTAAATCAAATCTGTAAAACGCGAAAAGAAATTAGTGAGTCGAAGATATAAGAAATGAACAATGGAGCAGTATATTTTAGTCTTAACCAGCCGTTTTTAAAACATCTTAGTAAGAAAATTGAGTTTGGCATAATTCATGTGTTCATGTAGTCGCGCATTAAGGAAGTGCTGTAAGTGCCGGTTAAATGTCTAACTTTGTGAAGAAGTAAATTTCCGAAGTTATTTCGTCTAAAGAAATGGATCTGTACTTGACATTTTCATGTCCAAAAATATAACCGGAATTTTCTCAGGTTAACGATTGAGTTCCGCAGCAATTATCACTTTTAGGTGTTTAAATTTTACATGATGATAACTCAACCTATGCATTAGCGTAAAGTTCAGAAAATAAAAATAGGCCTAATTCGCTGGCTTCCCTTATTTGCTAGCCCAATAGATGGCATTCAAATGACTTTAGATCAGTAAAGTTCCCTTAGACTGAGATGCTTTGTTGTCATCATCATAAGTTGATATTCTTTTACCTAGTATTGCTATCATACCATGTGCTTGTTTGCATTGTTGATGGTAGACTGGGTTATTGGAAAATAGTGAGAGACAGAGTTTGGTTTCTTAAAGCCTTAGAGAAATTTAACGTCTTTCTAGGAATCAAACTTACTGAACTGTGTTTCGAATTCAAGAGACCCAACAGGAAGTTGTCCACAAAATTACTGGGCACATTCAGAATTTTGTTCTCTAAGCAGTCAGTCATTCGTTGAAAAGATTTGCCCAGACTTTCTTCAATTAAAATGTCAGGGTTTCAAGAAAACGAGAGTTCATCTCTTGTGATCTTTCAGTATTTGTTAATTTAAGTAACTTTCTGTATAAGTTTGTGATGTAAGCGCGGTTCCGTAGATAAAACCTTAGTAAAAGAATTCAGGCAATCATAGAGAATACTATGAAATATAATTTATCAAGCCGAATGTAAATAATCGTTAAAATGTGATGTTAAGGAAGTATTTTTTCGGACTATCTCCATTTACGAATTATCATAACCTAGGAAGTTTGCTACCCGATGTCGAACTTAAAAGAATGAGCTTCACATTCTTATGTTTGAACGTGTAGTAGCAGTGTTCAGCCTGTGAAAGGATTGTCATAGCAACATTACTCAAGAAACTTAGTTTTTCACTCAGTAGTATAGCCAAACTTTCCCTGAAATTGCATAATTTAAACAGTACTAAGTGGTCCAAAAATTATCCTGGTTAGAACTCTAGAATCTGAAATTTGAAATTTTGATATCATTGTCTGGTTTCACTACTACTCTATAACTACTACTGACACTTTTGTGTTTAAGATAAAAAAGCACTGTATCGTTGATAATAGTGGTCAACCGGATCAACTAAATTACGATTTTTGCTCCCTCCTATTTGATCACTTTTTAATCGATTTTACTCGCTTTAGTCATGGATCGTTCATTATAGTGATAACTAAGAAATGTGCTTGTAAGGTAGGGGTAAGTTGTACATAAATCTCTCAACCGTAGTTACAAGGCAACCAGAGGTTCTTGGGTTCAAACCTTCAGTGGGTGCGTACTGCCGATGATTCTCAAACTAGGACGAAACAGCTGTCCAGTACTGCATGATTTTCAGTGGTTCTTTTACTACATTCAGTCTTTTTTTCACGTACTCTTTTTTGAAGTACAGATTATTCCGATGAAATAATGCTTAAATAACCTATCAAAGTGGATAAGATTTGTGTTTTCTAGCTACTTGGTTTAATTATGAGATGAAGACCCTAAAAATCATTTGGTTTATATAAACTTTTGCATGGATAAAAAATTGAAGGACACTATGATTAACATAATTTAATCTTTATCCTACAAGACAGCTGTTAAACAAAACATTATAACAACTCAGACTTTGTATATATGAGGTAAAAAGTCAGTCTATAAGGGCATTATAAGCAGAGTAATATACACTTGTCAAGTCAGAAAGGTAATTTAAAATTTATTTGTAAAATTCCATTATAGATAAGATTTTCTTTTTTTTTTTTGATAAATCGCACAGTGAAACTACTAATGATAACACAAATAAGAAAGAATATAAGTCATCCACTGTTATACCATATAAGGAAAGCACATCTGAGGCCCTACGTAGGATTCTTAATAAAGCAGGAATTAGGGTGGCATTCAAACCTACAAACTCACTCAGAGACAAGCTCTGTAGGCTAAAAGACCCGGTGGATCCAATTAAACAAAATAATATAATTTACAAAATACCCTGCAATAACTGTGAGGTCAACTACATAGGTCAAACTAGTAGGTCAGGGATAGTCAGATTAACAGAACATAAGAATTTAGCTAAGGTAAGAATGGTTGACCCTAAAAAGATAAGTAATTTAGAAAAAAGCTCAGCTATTGCACTTCATGCAATAACAAACAACCACACAATAGGATGGGATAGGGTTAAAATTCTAAAAAGTAATATAGCTAAGTGGAGAGAGAGGTTGATTACGGAATCCTTATTTATCGAGTCCACACCCAACACATGCATCAAAAATGACTCAATGCAAATACCAGAGATATGGAAGATATTATTACCGCAGGTCAAATCAGAAGAGGGTAATAAATAATATTAAAATTCTATTTCAATTCAAGTACATCACA